AAAGTTCTATCCATGTATTAGTTATTATTACTAGCATATCAGAAAACACATAGGACCTGACAAAGAGTAATTATTCCAGGTCATTTTTACTCTGTCACTAAGTAGTGGGTTTCTGATATTTTTGGTCAGTTAATCATTTTGGCAAAATACCTCAACACATGCTATCTCATTCACTCTTACTATCCAATCCAAGAGTTTACCATAGTTAATGGGAAGAAAAGAGCTGTTTTTAATTTTCAGTTTCCAATAAGCTTCTGCTGGGAAAGAGAAAAAGGAATAAAAGAAGTATGTAAAGAGTTTCCAAGTATTATTAGATACTTGGAATTATGATTAGATACTTAATGAAGTAACAAGAAGCCAAGCAAAACATTAGGGAAAACTAGAAAAGGGCCTAAAAGTGGAAGGACAAGCGAACACAAGACCTACTACTGCCTGCTTTTGCCTCTTAATCTTTGGTCATTGGTATTCCTGAAGGGTCCATCCTTGGCTGATTCCTCTTCTCACTCCTTAATCTCCCTGTTTCAACTACCATCTACCTCAGATGAAAGAAGCCTACTAAGACAACTTGGAGATGAGGTAGAGTGAAAACGATTGAAACAAACCTGAGCACAGGTTTTAAAATTTGGTCTGTTTCTGTTTTGTTTGTAATTGTTATTTTTTGGATTTCATATATAAGCGAAATCATGTAGTAGTTGTCTTTCTGTCTGACTTATTTCACTTAGCGTAATACTTTCTAGGTCCATCTATATTGTTGCAAATGGTAAGATTTCATTGCTTTTTTATGGCTGAGTAATATTCCATTGTATATATGTACCACCTCTTCTTTGATTGGAGCATTTAACTCATTTACATTTAAAGTGATTATTGATAGGTATGTAGTTATTGCATTTTATTAATTGTTCTCTGATTATTTTCGTAGTTCTCTGTTCTTTTCCTATTCTCTTGCTCTCTTCTTTTCTATGTTGATGATTTTCTGTAGTGTTATATTTGGATTCCTTTCTCTTTATTTCTTGTGTATTCCTTGTAAATTTTTGTTTTGTGGTTACCACGTGCTTCATGTATTTCAACCTATGTTTATAGGAGTCTATTTTAAATTGCATGT